AGTGGGTGATCATAGTGATAGGATCAGCCCCTTTGTCGGACAAAGGTAATGATCGGGGATGCATTCTCTCTGATGGAAACCAAGACTGTCGGCAGCCGATTTCAATCATTGAATTTTGTTTTGCAAAATATATTTTATATACGAATATAAATAATATATATATATGGTTTCAAAACGTTTGCAAAAAGGTTTTAATTCTCGGGATCCATGTGAGTAGAGAGTGCAACACTGTTCCTTGCAGCCGAGGGAGAGGTCCTCTCTTGTCGGGTAGTGTATGATCATTATGGGCTGAGAGGTTAAGTGTAAGACCATTGAGGGTAATACCTAATGGGCTAATCTTACATCTGCCCACAGTCCCTAGGTGTTACAAGGTGGCTTGGCCCAGGTACCACTTAGTTTAAGTGTTGGGCCCATAGAGTCCATGTGATGGGTTCAAGGGGTTCACTGGGCTTTTCAGTGAATTCGGTTAGGCCTTATAACAAAGGCTGGGCTGAACCGTTGTGGCTGATGCGTAGATCAATGCTTGGGTCCCAAGCCATACAAGGAAGCCCAACTAGGCAGCAGTTTGGAAGGCTAAGTGAGCACATATACTTATTGAGCGTAGAACCCATTTCGAACTGGGCTGATTTGATCAGTTAGAGAAGGGGGCGGATCTGAGATTTGATTAGCAGATAGGATAAGGTGTTATCCCTATCCACTCAGAGAGTCCAGATCCAAATAAAGATTTGAATATGGAAACCTCCTGATAAGATCATGAATGGCTGATCTAATCTGCAGATAAGATAATGACTCATCCTTATCACTTAAAGGGGATTTAGATCCAAATAAGATTTGGATCAGCAACTCCTAATAGGATTAGGAGCTGATCCTTTTAAGGTTATAAAAGGAGGGGGCGGCAACCTTTAAGAAGATCATTTTTTCTCACCTACAGAAAAAGATTATAGAAGAGAGAAAACAACTTCCAGTGAGATTGTGTTGATTTCTCCCTGCCGCCGCCGCTGCCAGTGCATCTCCACGACAGTAGGAGTGATCAAGAACGGTTCTTGAAATCAGTCCTTTGTGAAAAGGCTGATTGGAAGTCGTGCTCACGTGCCGTCCAACTGATTCTTGTGAAGGATCTAGTTCTTTGGAAGAACACTGCTGATTCTGCTCCATCATACACTGCGCCATATTCAGTGGGAATAGTCTTTGGTTTCTTCCTTGGGCGTGAACACCTCCATTGGGAGATATTGTTTCTCCGTATCAGGTATATCCCTCTCTTGTTTCTGTTTTCAGATTTGGTTCGATTTAGGTTTCAAGATTCATCATTGAAAATGCAGATTTTCTAAAATAGGGAATGCGATTCTCAGATGAGGGAACATAAAATTTTTGAAAATTTGCCTAACCTACCTGCACGGTTCGGTCATCCATATGATGGGTCTCTCATTCCTTCAGTTTGGTCACATGCTAATTAGGGATATAGGTTTTGAGTCATTTTTTGTACATGATCTTGTTCAAGTTTAGAGGGAACAATTTTTTCTGGTTCCTTTAGCACATTATCTTGTTCGACATTTTGTTCATATTTAATACAATGATACTTTACTTTCTCTCAAATAATATAATATAATATAATATATGTATATATTAACACTATATATAGTATTGAAATAATATATTATAATAAATTTTGATTAATCTAATTTTTGGATTAGCCAGATTTCTGATCTGAAAATCGAAGCAGAACCAAAATTTTAGATACAGTTTTTTAAGTTTTAAGTTTTAACTGAACAATGCTCACCCTAGACTATACTTTTTTTTGATAAATTACCCTAGACTATACTGATTCCTTAAATATAGATAGGAATTCAGCATAGGAAGTGCAGGAAATACTCCATGGTTTGCACTTAGCACTCCTCACAATTGTTAACTTGTAGAGCACTGTATCCATGACATATTGGTTTGAACCATCGCCAAGGTGGAGAATGCAATTACTTGTAAGAAAAGTTGCAGAAGAATATGCCCTTAAAAGGTGCTTCCGTTGTTAGATGGCGGAGAATTTTTCCTTTCATCAAGTAAAGTAGCCTTATTGGTTATGCAAAGCAGCTCCCCTTCGTTCCTATTTCATCCACTTTATCGAAAGAAGCTTCTGTCCGCAAGTGATTTAAGCATCTCTCGATTGATCCTCCCAATTAGCTTGTTTCAATATGGGAAAATTCCGGGTTGAAGTCTGCCTGATCTCTGCGCGCGGGCTTCGTCGTTCATTGTCGCTTTGGAAGCTCCAGTGGTTTGCTGTTGGGTGGGTTGATCCGAACAACAAATACTGCACCAAGATTGATGCCTCAGGAAATGCAAACCCAACCTGGAAAACAAAGTTTTCAGCCATTATTGATGGTTCAGAGTCCAACTTGCAAGATCTAGCTTTGCACATCCAAGTGTATAGTAGAGAGCCTGTCTTCCTTAGAGAGAAGCTTCAAGGAGTGGCAGCCGTTTACTTGAAAGAATTCTTGACCAAGTACATGAAGAATTCACCGAACGTTTCAAGTCCAGGAACTGAAGAAGTGGGGAGCTTCCAATTACGGAAAAAGAATTCCAATAAGCCGCAAGGATTTATCGATGTTTCTCTTCGGATCTCAGAGGAGAGAGAGGGAGAGAGTTCTAACTCAGGTCAGTCAGGTATCCATACATGATACATGTTGTTAAGGGTTATGATCGTTTGAACAAATAAACACTCTATGACATAAACTAAACCTTACATTTTTATGAACTTTTATAATTTATTTATAGATGTTTTATATGTTCTGTCATTCAAATGAATTATTCTAGTTTTTTTTTTTTTTTTTTGGTTTGAATCTGTATGAGCTTTTATTTCTTAGCAGATACATTTTATCTGTTACAATAATATATTTTTGGTTTGATGGACAAATTATTAAGTGATTATAAGGAATCTAGATCTACTACCAACATTACATCTAACAAGATTGATAGCCGCAGGTTTCAAATATGTTCTGTACCTAAATTGTGCGCGCACGTTGTAACCAATTTTTGTTTTTTGAAAAAACGTTGGAAGTAGTAGATTCGGACTCGATTATAACAACTTATTGTTGGCTTTTGTTTTAGTCCTTTTACCTTCTAGTTGTAGAAATTATCTTAGTTCCACATAGATTATGAAAGGAATTTTCTTATTTTTATCTTTTATTTTTATTTGGGAAAATTCTCAATTAGTATCTGTATTTTGAGCCTAGTGTTATTTTGATCTCCAAATTTTAAAATGTAATAATTCAGTACCTAAATTTTTAAAACGTGTCAATCCAATTCCTACCATTAACCAGTTGTTAAGTAGCATTTGAAAAAGACACCAATACCTTTCAAGTGTAATCTAGTTTTCTTTACAAAATATCTAAACGTTGACAAAAATTAACAATCACAAATCCTTACCTCTTCTATTCAAGAAAGTTAGGATAATCAGAATGTCCATTCGGAGTATAATCTAATTTTTCTTTATAAATTCAATTTGCTATTTTTTTTTTGTTTTATTGTTATTAGATTTCAGTAGATTTTTATTGCTGTTAATATCTGTTTATTCTTTCCAACACTATTATTCAAATTTGTGATTAAAAAAAATCAAATTTGTGATTAAAGAGTTAGTAGATGGTGGTTGATTATTAATGTTTAGCTTGCTTTGAGCTTTGCAGGCAATGGGGAAGGATTTAAGCTTACAGGCTCCCACGAATATGTTCCCTTGGCCATGGAAGATGGGTTTAAGCATTTTTATCCACCTCAACCGCTTCCCACTCCACTTGGCCAGTCTGAAAATTACCCGCAGATGAATTCCCCCAACTCCCATCCAATGTCATTCCCCATAGACAACTTAAACCCATCTTTACGAGGACCAAGCTACAAACTGGCAAGTGGTCCAAGCTATTGTCCACCTCGGACTCCTCCACCACCACCTCCACCTTCTAACGTAGGATATATACCCACTTTTCTCCTCAGAGCAGACCAATTGCCAACAACCTACGTGAATATGCCATCATCTGGGGCAGCACCTATACGCCGATCTGGTGAACCTGGTTTTGCAATGGGGGCTGGTGTTGGGGCATTGGCAGCTGGGGCTGTGATCTTTGGTGATGATTTTATGTCGGGATTTGATTTTCCGGCAGGTTTACAAGATGCTAGCCTTACCATATCAACCGATCCAAATTTATAGTTTCCATGTAATACTGTCCTAACCTTGCAATTAATAAATGTACCTTGTGTCATATAACAGCAATGATTATGATCTATCTATTACCTAAAGTTGGATTAAAGTCATTAAACCCACATTCCCATTTATGCCTGCGACCATGTGGCTCCTTGTAGTATTTAATATTTAATATTAATCTAAAGAAAGAATAATTTGTTTTGGGATGGCAACGGGGGTGGGTTTGGGGAGGATTTTGTAAATTTAGATTTTATTCATCTTTATTAACCTTCCAATCTGTATTTGTTTCAAAACCTGTAGTAGGTTGGATTTTGAGAATCTAAATCTTTTCCAAACATGAAAATACAAAACACCCAACCTTATTCTCCTTGCATTGAAGGTTGGGTGTGAAGCAGCATTTAATTTCCTATTATTTCTTGTTTTAGATAAACAATAAATAAATAAACATAAATGAATAGAAAAATTTTCAATTATTTTATTAAGATATGTAAAAACACAAACTATCAATTATTCTTCACATAACATTCAAACTACTATAAAAAATCAACCCTTAATACATAAAATTCATATGCTTTTCAATAATATATAGGCTGAGGAGTGACAACAAGTGTGAGAAAGTTTAATTAATTTGTGGACTCTTTTGAACTTAAAGAACTTTCACTCCTAAATAATTTCACTTGGTCCAACCTTCAATCCAGGACAATTTGCTCTAAACTGGACAGATTTTTGTTCTCAACAAATTGGAAGGAACATTAGGGCAATCTAACTTCTAGGGCTCTTCCAAGACTTACTTAAGACCATTGGCCTATAGTGTTGGGTAAGGAGGATTTAAGAGGTGATGGTTCTACCCCATTTAAGTTTGAAAACATGTGGTTGACTCATTCGATTTTCATTGAGAAGATCAGAGAGTGGTGGGAGCAATCTAATCCGGTAGTACAATGGGAGGGAACAAGGATCCACAAGAAACTCTAATTCCTAAAATCACAACTAAAGGAGTGGAATATGCTAGAGTTTGGAAGAATAGAAGAGAGAAAACAAGTTTTGATGAAGCAGATTGAGGATTTGGACCTGAAAGAAGAGAGAGGTTCCTTTGGAGAGGAAGAAAGGAAGCTGAGATGGGTTTTGAGGAGGCAGTTGGAAGACATCCTGGTTAAGAAGGAAATTAGTTGGAGGCAAAAATCCAAGTGTAAGCGGCTAAAGGAGGGAGATAGAAACACAAGGTTTTTCCATTCAGTGGCAAATGGGAGGAGAAAAAGAGTTTCATCTCTAAATTGGAAGTTGATGGAGTAGTTTTGTCCCACCCGGTAGAAATTGTAGAGGCCATAGTAAACCATTTCAAATCTATATATAGAAGGCCTTTAAATGAGAGAGTGTGGCTGGAGGCTTTGGATTGGCCAACTTTAAGTGCATAGATGAGAGAGTGGTTAGAAAAGACTTTTGATATGGAGGAGATAAATGAAACAATATTCTCAATGGATAGGACAAAAGCTCCGGGTCCAGATGACTTCACAATGGCCTTCTACCAGGATTGTTGGGATATTTTGGAGAACGATCTTAGATCAGTTTTTGAGAAGTTCTATAGAAGGGGAATAATAAATCCGGGTTTAAACTCAATTATCATTGCTTTGGTCCCAAAGAAGAAAGAGGCATCACGATCAAATGGTTTTAGATCTATCAATCTGGTGACTAGCTTGTACAAAATTATTGTAAAAGTGTTGTCTCTTAGGATAAAGAAGGTGCTTCCCTCTATTATTGCTCCCAACTAAGGTGCTTTTGTAAATGGAAGATAGATCACTGATCAGATCCTCACTACAAATGAGAGCTTGGAGAGCTTTAGGAAGTTAAAGAAGAAGGGAGTGGTTTGTAAATTGAATTTGGAGAAGGCTTATGACCTTGTTGATTAGTCTTTCTTGTTGGAGGTTTTGAGGAGTTTTGGTTTTGGAGACAGGTGGTGCAAATGGATCTGGGGTTGTGTCAGGACTTGTCATTATTCTATCTTGGTGAACGGTACAGTGGTTGATTTTTTCTTGCTTTGAGAGGTCTAAGTCAAGGAGATCCTCTTTCCCCTTTTTCTTTTCACCCTGATTGCTGATGTACTTGGGAGATTGATTCATAGAGTAGACTCAAGAAATTTTATAAGAGGGTGGAGAGTAAGAAGGGAGGAGGTTCCTCTAACACATTTACAGTTTGTAGATGACACAAGGAGGGAACATTAATTGGATATGGAATCTAAAGTTGGCAATACGACTCTTTGAGTAGATATCTAACTTCATGGTGAACTTTGATAAGAATTGTGTGGTGGGAGTGAATGTGGATGAAAGGGACCTAAGGAAATTTGTAGGTGAGCTAGGTTGCACAATCTCAGACTGGCCCTTGACATACTTGGGCCTCATTTTAGGAGATAATCCTAAGAATGTAAGTTTCTAGAATCCGGTAGTGGAGAGGTTCAAGAAAAGGCTGGCGGCTTGGAAGAGAAATTATCTTTCTTTAGGAGGGAGAGTCACTTTCATTAGGTCTACCCTAGATAATCTACCTGTCTACTATTTGTCAATGTTTAAGATCCCTTCAAAGGTTTCCAATCTCTTGGAATAATTAATAAGGAATTTTCTGTGGGATAATTTGTGAATTGAGATTGTGGTTAACATACATGGGCTGGAAGACAATGGCTAGGATCCTGAAAATTCATTCAGAATCTGGGAAATCCATTCACAATCTGTTTCTCCTTGGTAATTCATTCACAATCTGCTTCCAATGTTTTCCCCTTGGATCAGGTATAGTCTAAACACTGGTAACCGAATAAAATTCTAGGAACAAATTTGAGTAGGAGATTCACCTCTGAAGGACTAGTTTCCGTCATTGTATGCTCTGTCAAACTTGGAAAATGAACCTATCTCTTCTTTCTTGGTTCCTTCAGACTCCACTTCTGGTTTTGGGTGGAACCTAGGCCTACATAGGGCTATTAGGGATACAGACTTGAAAAACTTGTTACCTTTGCTAGCCACCCTTGAGAATGTCTTCCTAAATCTTGATAAGGAAGACACCGGATTTTGGACCCCTTCTACCTCTGGTACTTTATTTTGCGCTTCATTCTTTGAAACCTTAATTCAACCTTCTGTCCCTTTAGGTTTTCCTTTCTAGCTAATGAAATATGGAGTAAGCCTATTCCTCCTCGGGTTGTTTTTTTTTTTTGTTGGAAAATGTTCCTGGAAAGAATAAACGCATTTGACTTACTTCAGAGAAAGGGACCCAACTATTGTCTTCTTCCTAATAGATGTGCTCTTTGTAAAGCTAATGGCAATCCGGCTACCACCTCATGGTCTCTTGTAAGGTTACTAAAACTGTATGGGAGTGGGTTTTTTCCCACTTTGGGTGTTCTTGGAATCCGCCAGAGTGTCCAAGTTTGTTCTCTCTCTCTCTTTTTTTTTTTTTTTTTTTTTTTTTTTTTTCAGATGGCCTAAGAAGGGAGGGAAGACTATGTGGAGGAGTATTAGGGCAGCTGTGTCCTGGTAATTATGGGAAGAAAGAAACTCATATACCTTTGGAGTTGTTTTTAGATTTTCCTATAGATGACTTGCTAAGAAATTGGAAAGAGATTGCTTCCACTGCTAGGTGCAAGAGGACTCTTTCTCCCTCTTGGTCCCCTCCCCCCTTGGGTGTTATAAAGTTGAATTTTGATGGTAGTAGTGTAAGGAATCCAGGGCCCTCTGGGATTGGAGGAGTTTTTAGGAATGAGAAAGGGCATGTTATTGCTTTGTTCTTAGGCCCTATTGGACAAGGTGACTCTCTTAGAGTTGAGATCCTTGCAACGCTTGAAGAAATTCGAAGAGCAAAAGAATTAAATATCAGCCGTTTGGTCCTGGAAGGTGATTTGAAGGTAGTGGTTAGCTGGTTGAAGAAAAAGGACAATAGATTATGGAACTATAACAATGAAAAGAAACAGTTCTTATGACTGTTTAGGGACATTGAGATATAACATAGTTGGGTGAAGAAGAATGCTAACTCATTTGTAGATGAATTGACCAAACAAGGAGTGGATAGGGAGTCTGTCTTTTAGGCTAGTTTTAATTTTTTCTCTTTGTATTTTATTATTGGGGAGCTAAGATATTTTATCTACCCACACCGTATGGATTGTCAAATCCTAAAATCCATTCCTGCCCCAAAATTTTCCCTTCACGCAAAAATGTTTAGAACACTTTTATAATTAATGGGAAACAGCATAGAACTCAATAGATCACTTTCGATCCATTGCACCAATTATATATTCATTTTCTACGCCCAATCATTAATATTGTCCTACCCAGTTTATTAATATTTCTGGTCAGCCCATAAAACAGAGCCAACCTTTGTCGTTTATGGGATCCCAATGCCTAATGTGAGCTGATCAGGTGAATCGGTAGGCAATTAATGCGGAGTGGGATATTAGTGATGCCAGCAGAATTGGGATCACATGTTCCAACACCCTATCAACGTAGCACCACACATGTCACTAAAAATTAGGATTCATTATAAAAGTGGACCTTTTATGAATGAGATGTAGATGATGTTGATAGAGCGTTGGAATGTCTTCTATTGGCTGGTTCATACCAGTAACATTTTTTTTTCCTTTATCTATTGGTTAATTTTCAAAAAGGAAAAAAAGATAAATTTTCTTGTTTTAGTATATATAACCATGGTTTTTAAAACTAGGAACCGGTTAAGTGGCCGGTTTTGTTTTCCCCCAAAATCGGATATTTGCAAAAAAGAAAAAATGTTGATTTGGTTAATAAACCGCTGATCCGATCGTTCAAACCGTTCAATTGTTTTGATTATTTTTATTTTTTATTTTTATTTTTTGTCAAAATGAGCCAAATGTTCAACCTGGGACCAGACCCCTGACCGGTTCATTCTCCGGGTCGGTTTTAAAAACCTTGTATATAACCCCATTTCCATGTGTGAATCTTAGGAATAATTTGAAATTTCATCTCTTTCGTGCCCTAACCCTAACCCCTCTTTTTGGATTCTTCCCTTTTCCTTCTGCATATATACCATCCAAGGTTCAAAGAACTGATAGTCTGATATGCCAAATTGGGTGTATTGGATTTTGTATCAACATTCTTTTATATATATTTTTTTCAAAATATGTTCAGGGGGTCGATTAAAGGCCTGGTTACACCCTGAAACAAGTCTTATCCCTAAACTCTTAAAATTTCACGAATTGGTGACCATTGATACATACGTATCGACCTATACATGACAAAATTTTAAACCTTGATACCATCTATTCCTCCTGCTGATCACCGTAACCTCCACCACCAGCGGCCCTTCTCTCTTTATACAAGTTCTACAAGATGTTTGATTCATTTCCTCGTATTAAGCCTGTTTGACAATATCGTTGCATAATCTAGGAAGAGGGGTGGACGGTTTGCCATTAGTTACTGTAGACGCATACACTGAATTTGAGTGACGAAGCTCTGGACCAGATTGATTCTTCAGTAATGGGAAGGACTTGCAAGCAAGAAAATGAAACAGGCAACACCTACTAGCCAGTGACAATGCAAACCTTATTTACCATGCTGAATGAGGCTCAACATCCAGGCCATGAATCATATAGTCACATCTTATTTGTCAAATAGAAAAATGCAAGCGTTTAGCTTGCATTAGTAGCAATTCCAACATAGCTTTTGCCTAAGCCCTTTATCACAGGTTTCAACGACATGACTTGAACAAACCATCATCATGATCCATGGAGCTTCACTCAATCGTGTTATTCATCATCAGTCATTGGACCCAGAAAATTCGGGTTTCTTATAATTGCTAACTGCTAAGTCCATTCAACCTATAAATTTTGGCTTCTTGTTAAAATTATACTAGCGAGGGGTGCCCGGGCGAGTAATACCAAGTCTCTTCTTGTTAAAATAAGTTGTGGTCGTCTCCCAGTCTCTGCTGGAACGAACCAAGATATTATATATATATGATAACAGAACCATCTTACAAAGTCATTGAATATACAATTCCCAAAAGAAATACAAATTTTATATGCATTACAAGAGAACATCTTACAAACAAAGCTATTAAACATATAATTCCCAAAATAACAAGCTATTCATCTTGTAAACCAACTTTGTGGAACAATGATGTCAACACCTGAAATTATCCTTACGGGAACACTTGTCAAATTTTGCAAGAACAGAGCTACATCCTATGCAATTAGAAAGAAACATCAATAATAATAAAGCCCCTATCTAATTCAAACTTAATTTAAGAGGGAGATCCCTTTTTTATTCAGTCCATGTGACAAGTTAGAAAAGAATGGATGATATCAGTTAAGTTTGAGGTTTTCAATACTTCAATTAAGTCGATTGATACAATTTCCTCCTATTGGAGGGAAATTCCTCATAGTCCTATGACAGTTACAAAAAGTATAAAATTGATATATAGTTGATGGAAGTTAATAATTTTTTAAGGTCAACATATTTTCAACATGCTTAACATCCTACATACATCGGTTAGTATTAAGGAGTAATTAAGAATAAATGAAATCCTGTCTAATGTATGGAGACAATATATATAGTAGATGTCATTTAATATTCCAAATACTTAAATCAAATGCCCATATAAATTGGCTCACAGCATTGGTTGTCCCTTGGAACAACTTTGTTCTTGTTTTTTAAGAGATGGCAATTCGATTCATCCCCGTGGTGCCCCACCCCGACTGGGGTGCATTTTTTGACCACCAAGGGTTTGGGGAAAACCCAAAACTCTAGGGTCGGGGGTGGTATTTGTCCAATCCATCCTAACCTCACCTTGACTATATTATATAACATAATATATATATATAATACTATATTATATTACATAAAATAAAATAGTTTTCGATAGTTATCAAAAAATATAAAAAAATAAATTAATAAGTATACAAGTAAGAATGATTAGGGCGGGGTGAGGCAAAGTCAAGGATCCCCATTCTCCGAGATGAGGATGGGGTTAAGATTTTTAACCCCGCTGAGGTTCAGGGTGGGGACTTTGAATTCAGGGTTGAATATGGGGCGGCAAAACGCAGCCCCGCCCTAGTGTGGCTGGGTTTTGCCATCTCTAAAAAAACAAGAACTTTAAGTTCTTGCCAAAGTTCTCCCAGAACTTCTCATAGTCCTAGTGTGACACAATAAACAAATAACTGAGCAAACAATCAACAACTTTATTTTTCTTCCAGTTCCAGGAGTTTGGATATTTCAAAAATAAGGATAAGGATGTACATAGCCCTCGTGCAAATAAAATGGTTTCCTGCAAAGCTCTCCCAGAACCTTTTATAGTCCTTTTGTAAAATAGTAAAAAAAATGATTGATTCCTCCATGAATTGAACAAATGCTTTCAGTTGAACCCTTGCTCATCGCAACAAAATCCAAAAAGGCTAAAAGAAATAGAAGAAAAACAGTGGCATACCTCTCTATTCTCATTCATAGATATGCCCAAGATCATGTCAAAGGCCTTCCGAACCAATCGCTTCCTCATAATCCTTACCTATAACCAAGATATAAAGCTAATTATACTAGGCCATGAATACTCAAATAAACAACAAAACAAGAATAAGAGATGTCTCTAAAAGGTTTGGGGTCATGTGGCAGATTAACTTACTATTTGACTTTCTTGAAGAATCTCACGAGAAACATTGAGTGGATGGTCATTTGAGTCCACAACACCTTTCACGAAACTCAAATACCTTGGAAACTGATCAATTAGAAACAACAGGCAGATGTAAGCAAACCGATTACAGAGAAGGGGAGTATAGTGTGATATTCCCTTGAATTGTGGACCATCATGAAAGACCATGTTGTTGGACAGTTTTTGTATGCCCTTAGCTTCAGCCAGTTCTGATGTACTTTTGATATTTAATGTAAATAAATAAAATACATGTTTGATTCATGTTGTGTGGTATATTTCTGTGTAAGACCCTAAAACTGGACACTTAATGAGACTTGTGTTGGTTTTAAATGTTCACATTCGTTGGATAAGTCTGGGGAGATTTATCCTGCCAAGGCTGACACTGGTGTGCTGTCAACTGTTGGGGTGGCTTGTCTCAGCCGTCAGGGTGAGACCCAAGGCACATGCAGTGTAGGATTACTTGAACCTTTGAACCAGACCAGATTTCCAGTATTGCACTGGAACTTGGAGATTGATGGGCAAAACTGGAAAGTTACACCTGACCCCTAGACCCGATTATGGTACTGCACTAGGTGTCGGATTGGACTGTCTTTGATATGACAATCAGTGAAATCCTTAGCAGGGGTCAAAACCTGGGTATGTTGGGACAGTCTGAGAATTCATCTGAGTGGGTGATCATAGTGACGGGATCAACCCCTTTGTCGAACAAAGGTAATGATCGGGGATGCACTCTCTCTGATGGAAACCAAATTACTGGCAGTTGATTTCAATCGTTGGAATTTTGTTTTGCAAAATTTATATATATGATATATACTTATGTATGGTTTCAAATTGTTTGCAAATGGTTTTAATTCCTGCGATCCATGTGAGTAGAGAGTGCAGCATTGTTCCTTGCAGCCAAGGGAGATGTCATCTCTTGTCGGGCAGTGTATGATCATTATGGGTTGAGAGGTTAAGTGTAAAGCCATTTGGGATAATACCTGATGGGCTAATCTTGCATCTGCCCACAGTCCCTAGGTTTTTATAAGATGGCTTGGCCCAGGGACCACTTAGTGTAAGTGTTGGGCCCATAGGGTCCATGTGATGGGCTCAAGGGGTTCACTGGGCTTCTCAGTGAATTCGGCTAGGCCTTGTAACAGAGGCTCGGCCGAACCCATGTAGTTGATGTGTAGATCAATGCTTGGGTCCCACGCCATACAAAGAAGCCCAACTGGGCAGCAATTTGGAAGACTATTGAGCACTTATTACTTAATGGGCCTAAAGCCCATTTCGAACTGGGCTGATTTGATCAGTCACAAAAGGGGGCGGATCTGAGATTAGGATGAGCCCAAAAGCTTATCTAATCTACAAATAAGATTAAAAAGTGTCCTAATCCAAATACAGATTTGGATAAGGGCAACTCCGGATATGATTATGAAGTTTTCTTAATCATTAAGCAAGTGGAGGAAACCCTAATTCAAATTACATGAATTCGAACCCAAGGGATTTCGCAGAGAACACACCTACATTCTGAAGATTGGATCTCAGAAACCCTAGAGAAGAAAAAGTAGTTCGCCACTTTCTTCTCTAATTCTCTTCTCCATCAGCCGCCGCCAACCACCACCAGTTCGGTTTTCTCTGTGAGGGAAAGATCAAGAAAGAGTTCTTGATATCAGTTTTTGCTGAAAGGCTGATTCAGTTCAGTTCTCATTGTTTTCAGAGGATTCTTGTGAAGGATTCAGTGCGTAGGACGCACTCTGCTAGTTCTGTTCCATAGTTGCTGTGTCATCTTCAGTAGGAGCAGATCTTGGTGTCTTCTTTGGGTATGAACACCAACTTTGGGAGATATTATTTCTCTGGATCAGTTATAATCACTCCCTTCTCTTTTGGTTCAAATTTGGTTTGGTTTGGTTCAAGTAGGGTCCTTGAATATTATTCTAAAATCAGGGAATGCGATTCCCAGTTAGAAAGAAGGTAGGAAATTTTTGAAATTCGCCCACCCATTCTACAACAGTTTTGGCATCCATACAATGGATCCTACCATCCCTTTCAGTCCTACTAGTTCTCCATCAAAGTCATCTGAAATAAACACTCATTTAACATAGAGCCTTATATTCCTTGTTTTGGGATTAATTATATCATCTCTTCCTGTAGGAGCAATAACTGGCACATAGAGTATAGACCTAAACTCTACTTCACCCTGCAACAGATGAAGTTTATAGGCTTAATAAAACACACTAAATAATAGCACGCATGATGAAATATTTGTGCATGTAGAAAGTAGGTGTGCGCATTGGGTATTCAATTTGAACAAATTATACTACATCTGAGCTGGGCCCATTCAAATTTTAACAAATGCACAACATGAGCCCACCCAAGATGCACCCCTATTGGAGGAGGGGGAGTATCAGATAATTCAGGTGATAAAAAATAAGTTCCACCATTTGTTAAAGATATCCTATATCTAAATAATCTCTAGGATTTTCATTCTGCAATGTAACTGTCGCATGTATTGTCATTATTATTGTTGTTGTTACCTCTGTAGTGAAGTGTGAGGAAGCTAGAGGGTCCAAGTACTCATTGAAGGTCTTCTTGTAGAACTCGTTGTATTCCTCTGTAGTGACTTCCTTAGGGTGGCGTAGCTGTTCATATACATAAACAATATGAACACCTGACAGTTCACTGAATTTCCCATAATCAAAGAGGAATAGGAGTTTTAAGCCTTACCCATGTCAGCCCCCAGTCCTAGTACCTCTCAACTACGATCTTAGTTTTCTTCTTTTTCTGTCACGACATAAGCACACGAAAGATTGCTCAGAAACCAAGGAACCCATAATAAACGAGTGGTCGGTATAGTGAAAGATCACAAGTTACCTCAGCTTTTCCATCTCCTCCATCATTTTTGGCTTCAGTCGGATCCTCATCAACTTCAACCTGTTAGATATTCAATGATCAGGATAATAGAACTAATGCTATAAAACCGAGTAGTGAATATTGCAACCTAAATAGGAGTACTTGTACATCTTGGAAAGTCTAGGGACACAGAATAGTAAGGTTCTTGCACGGTTGACTGTTCAACCCAAAAATAAGCCCTAAACTTCCTCCTCGGCTCCTGCCCAAAATCTTGATTAATCAAATGCAAAGGAGAAAACAAATCCAGAAAATGAGCACAAAATAAAATTAAAATAAAATAAAATAAGCAATCAAAATACTCACTCGGTTGAGATTTTGGCTCCGAACTCTGTCAACACTGCAACAGGGAGAGTCCGCTGGCTCTGCTTCGTTGAGAAGGGAGAGGAATAAAATGAGAGTCGGGAGAAAAAGACAGAGAGAGGGAATCAGAGAAGTGGAAGATGGGAAGGCCAAACCGCCGCTGCCGAGAGTTGCAGCGGCGGTGGTTGAGAAGAAACGAAAACAGGGAGAGGGGGCAAGAAGAAGACGAAGAAGAAGAAGAATCAGAGAGGAAGAGAGAGATCGGTGAAGGAAGGCACCGCCGCTAAGATGAACAAGTTGAGAAGGCCAAACCGCCGCACCACCGCACCGCCGCAGCTGCTGCTTCCAGAACTCAAGAGCTCAAGAGGGAGACTTCGGGAAGGCCTTTCTGAAGCCTTCAGGACCTCCTTCGTTCTCCCTTCGCAACGGAAGAAGCCTCTCGAAAAGAAGAATTATGAAAAAAGTCAGAACAAGTGTGTATCATGCAACGAAGACACGAATCAATTATTTACACGTGAGATTGAAAATCTACTCGCACGAGTCAACTCAGAAACCACCCATTCCAGAATTTTATATATATATATATATTTATTTATTATATAGATATAGATTAGATATTCATATTCTCATGCGTCGCACGGCCGGCACGGGTCCCGCTAATGCGGGAGATATTGGTGTGAGTAGCGCTATATAACAGATCCGGACTCACAAAATCAAAACGAAAACAACTAAAAACCATCGGACACAGACACACCGGCAATGCATCAGACCACTTGAAGCTCACTTCAAACCCAACTTTCATCAATGGAAGCTTTACTTTGCAGAAAGATCGGTGATCCAACGGTCCCACTCTCGGAAGCTTCACCGATATTCATATCAACCTCTTATCCAATCCCTGTTTTGGATTCTTCGACCGCTGTTAGAGTAAGGGTGAAATCTACCAGCCTAAACTACGCGAATTATCTGCAAATAGTTGGGAAATACCAAGAAAAGCCTCCTCTCCCTTTCATTCCGGGTTCCGATTACTCCGGGGTGGTGGAGGCTGTTGGAAATGAAGTTTCCAAGTTGAAAATTGGTGATAGGGTTTGTTCCTTTGCAGCCCTTGGCTCTTTTGCTGAATATATCGTCGCGGATGAGAAAGAATTGTAAGTTCTGGTTATTTGAAAATGATCTTCATGTTTTCTTCTTGTATTATTGAGATATAACTTTGAAAATGTTCTCCCACCAGCAGGGAGAACAAACTATTTTTTTCTTAATATTGAGATATAAGAGCTGAAGATCTCTTTTTCAAGAACCGGCAAAAGCTTTTGTATTTTAAAATGTTTGTATATTTATTCCTGAACTGAAAATCCTAACTAAAAAGGCCTTTACCCAATGTTGGTCCTAGCTATCTGGGGTCTTGGAGGGTTTGCTTGGATACGGACCTAACTTTTAGCATGTTTTCACGACGTCTGAATTTTCTAAATTAAACTAAATCCTATTTCAAGAAAACCTCAAAACATCTACAGATTTCATTGCAGCTGATAAGAATTTCATGCTAGTGCCTAAACTTGCATGTTTTCTACCTGGTACCTTAGATATAGATAAGTACCCGGTTTGCTTCAATATGGAACAGGAAAAATTAATTTGATCAATCAAATTTATCATGGATGTTCGGGAAAAATATAGGTTTATGCTTAATGAGTTGGCTGTGAATGAGAAAGAACTGAAAGCAATTGAAGGAGAAAAAAGAAGATAGAGAAAAACTAAGTGGACAATTTAAGGAAATCTTTTGGACTTTCTCATTCGCAAGTCCAGCCTGATATATGTGGTAGAGTATGTTCGTTCATTCATTTTGTCATTTCAATAATGATCAGTTACGCTGGTTAACATGTTTGTTAATTATTTATATATTTGATTAATATTTTTATGGATAACTTATTTGATTAACTTTGCATGTACTTTTATCTTTCTTTCTCTTCGACGTAAAGGTTTTTAGTTCCCGATGGATGTGATCTGGTTGCTGCTGGTGCACTCCTTGTTGCATTTGGAACTTCACATGTGGCACTTGTTCATAGAGCAGGATTAAGCTCTGGCCAAGTACTGTTAATCTTCCCTTTGAAGTTTAAATTGTTTCATGGGCTTCTCAGAATCAAAAGAGTTGAAGTTGAGAAAATAACCACAGAAGCTTGTTAGTGATGCTTTTGAGAAATTGTAGCGTAACTTGATTTGACGGTGATAAAATTACAGGTTTTGCTTGTTCTGGGTGCAGCTGGTGGTGTTGGGCTTTCAGCTGTGCAGATTGGAAAAGTTTGTGGTGCCACTGTCATTGCTGTTGCCAGGTATGTAGGCATTGGACAGTGTAGCAGCATGAATTTTATTAATCTCTCTACTGTTCCTGTTTGTTTATGCAACCATTGAACCCTGAAATTATTAAAGCTTCAAAGGGATATGAATAATTTCTGGAGCATATTTTTGATTTTAGGGGAGCTGAAAAAGTACAGTTTCTCAAATCACTTGGCATTGATCATGTTGTTGACATAAGCAAGGGGAACATTTTTGGAAGTGTGAAAGAATTCCTGAAGGCAAGGAAGCTCAAAGGGGTTGATGTTCTCTATGATCCAGTAGGTGGTAATCTCACAAAAGAAAGCTTGAAACTGTTGAATTGGGGAGCAAATATCCTGGTCATAGGGTTTGCAAGTGGAGAGGTCCCTGTCATCCCAGCAAATATTGCACTTGTTAAGGTATTCTTAGTGATGGATTGAAGCTTTAAATCTTGTAAATGTTTCTTGTTGCTTAATCCTTTATCATCTGCACCTAATCTGATTCCAACTCTTGCTGTTACTAGCTGATGCAAGCAGTAAAGCTTAGGCTCAGTATGGAAAGAGTACAAACACAAATATCTACCATGTAAATACATACAAAATAATACAAAATACAAGGTTTTTCACTCTATATATTTGTATTTGTACTCCTTCCAAAGTGAGCCTTACATCTCCATTATTTGTACTCGAGTTAATACTAAAATTTCAGTACTTGTAGAAGTATTATTATCAGTCCCCAACAATTAAATAATCTTCTTGGTATTTTAAGCTTGGACAAATATAGAGTATACTCCAACTCCCCTCCCCTTTTTGAGGTTTCTGGCACATAATGCCGTATTCTATTTTTTAAGAGACCCCCAAACTGTGCACACCTCTGACAGAGATAACAGTGAATGGACATTTCCGAAATTGCCCATTTGTTGTTTATATGCACGAGTGATCAAGATTTCACCTAATTTCTGCTATTCAAGTGGTTCTTGATTTTTTTTTTTAAATGCTGTCACTGTACCATAAAACAAGGGATAAGTGCTAAAACCTCAAACTATAGGGTGATCCTTGGAGTTTATTGCTTTATATTATTATATGTAATAGAAAAAAATATCACATCATTTCTCATTTTTCATTTTGGTCTCTAGTGAGACTCTATGTGATGCACATGTATCTGTATTTTATTTTTGCATGCTATTAAGGAAATATCATATATGAAAGAAATATAGAGAAAGAATAGAAAAATACATGTCTTTTACATCCAATTATAGCAATGAGCAACCGCTTTTATCTTGAATGGCAGTTCAAACAAAATGTACTTTTATATGACAAAAGCGTATTTGTAAAATATTTGAAAAAGAAAGGGTAGGCAATGGTAACACCTTTTTTGCTAGTGAAAATTTCTTTCTACCAGAAGCTCTAAAAGTTCTTCATTTGCATCAAATAAATTACCAATCATTGGAATAATCTGAATTGATATGACTCATTAGTATAATTTCATTTACAATAATTTCATATTAATTAAAGTTTTAAACCAATCAATATGAAATGGAATTGTCTAATGTTGTATACAAAAATATATATTTTGTCATCTAATGAGTTCTAAAAAGTTTTATTTTTGCTTGACAAAAATAAAATAAAGTAGGTTAGCCCAAAATGTGTGGTTTTACCCTTCTTTTTAGTAGGATTATAGATTTACAAGATGGGGACTGTCATTTTCCCATTGATTTACTTTCAGAACAACAAAAAGTCTTCTTTTTCTTATAGAAAAGGAGTTTCTTGCCTCCAATAGTTATACATCATTAAAATGCTCTATTTAATATTTTTTGGAGGATATACAATAAATATAAACAAGATTGAAAACCCTTTTTGATATAGCAAAAAGGTATAAGATTTTTAGTCAAAATCCATAGATTGTTGAAACTAGATTTCTATCTATATTTTAAGACTTGTTTGTAATTTTATCTAATAGATGATTACTACTTAGATTGAAAGGAAAGCTCTATAAAACAATTGTTAAGGCCAGCCATGCTTTATGGAGTAGAGTGTTGGGCAATCTAAAAACATGTCCAAATAATGAGTGTGGCAGAAATGCATATATTGAGATGGATGAGTGGAAAAAGCTAGAAAGGATAGGATCAGAAATGAATTCGTTCTAAGGAACCTAGGAGTAGCTCCAATAGTTGATTAAATTAAGAGAAAGTATACTAAGATGATTTGGCCATGTGCATAAAAGACCATCAACAATACCCATAATCAAGGTTTAAAATTTCGATACGATACACCCAATATGGGGCGTATTGTATCGTATCTTTGAAAAATCGATACGAGATACAGATGGATATCGGATGTTTCATCTTTTTTCATGCGTATCGGACCCGTATCGAGGGCATATCGGGGGTGTATCGGGGTGTATTGATAGTCTATCGACTAAAAAGATACGTCCAAAAACTAAAAGAAATTAAAGGGGGAAAGCAAGCTTATTTTCTCCGAAATAAGGCTTCTTTCACCCCCAAATGACTCTAAAATTTCAAACTTCATTCCTAGAGTGCTAGATTTGCAAATGTTTGCAAGAAACAAGTGTTAATAGTTAATTTTTTTAAAGAATTTTCAAATTTTGAAAAAATATGGGAAAAATAGGTAAAATTTTACAATCTTTTATAATATCTTGTGATTTCTTTTTTTTCTTGAATGTTTAAATTTATGTTGATCTATATTTCTTACATTTAAAATCACAATTTTTTTGTGTTATCAGTAGACTTATGGAAATTTCATGCAGATATTTGGGTAAAATATAAATTAACAAAAACTTTGAAAATGTAATTTTTTCTTTGCCTATAAAGACTAAATATGTTTTAGATCTATGGATTTATCTATCATATCCATAGAGCAATTGAAATTTATTCTTTAATATATATATTTTTTATTTCTTTAGAATTAAAAAAAATAAATAATAATTAATTATATTTTATCATTTGATCACAACAATTGAATATATTATAATTCTATGGATGATCTATCATATCCACAGACCAATTGAAATTTCTTCTTTAATAATTATTTTTTTCATTTTCATATTTTTAGAATTAAAAATAAATAAATAATTAATTATGTTTTATCATTTGATCACAACAATTGAATATATTATAATTCTATGGATGATCTATTATATCCACAAAGCAATTGAAATTTCTTCTTTAATAACTATTTTTTGAATATATTATATAATGTTTATTTATTTTTTATAATTTTTGGAAATAAATAATAAATAATAGTTATTTAAATAATAAATAATTATTAATTATATTTTAGCATAGAAGTTGTGCCAATGCATGCTTTATGGTTGGATAGGAGAGTTGGGTTTTTCCGATCCCATAAAACATTAAAACTTAAGAATTATACTCTATAAATTATAGTTAAGCATACAATTTTTAATGAAATTATAACTAGCTACAACATATTTCTTCATAAAATCATTAAAATATATTAATTTAATGTATATACATCTCATTGAGGTCTTATATTTAGTGTTGTTGATATATTTTTATGATTTGTTAAAGCATTTATAGTTGATTTATTAAAGTATTTATAGTGCTTCCAAGCGTATCTTAGTTTTTCTCTGGTACACATGCATATCTAAGGAGTATCCTGATACGTCTCTTAAAATTGTCTTTCTGATACACTTGGCGTTTCCGATACTTTGAACCTTGCCCATAAGAAGTGCTCTATTACAAGTTGAAGGGGCTAGGAAGGGCTAGGAGTGCATCAAAAAGGGCTTGGGTTGAAGTAGTATGAATTGATTTAAGTCCCATAATTTAACAATGGATATTGCATTAAACATAACGAAATGGTGAAACAGGACTCTTGTAGCTGATTGTTGAAGGCATTTTTTAATCCAAATAATATTTAATAAATTAGAACTCAAATAAGTTGGTTGGCTAGTCTGCTAGCCAAATCATTAAAACTATAAAAAAGTATCCCGTATGGGAGTTCCCTCTCTTTAAGTGAGGAGTTCCCTCCCTTTAAGTGGGAGGGACAGGTGTCCTTCACCTAGGAGGAGGAGGTAGTTCCATAACTACCCTACTCCTTGTTTAAGCTCCTTAAGGGGAAGCTAGAAAGGGGACATAGAGACTCTTCGGAGAAAATTTTCACAAGAGATTATTGAAAAAAAACAAAGATAAGGAGAGAAGAAAAGAGAAGTGCTCAAGGGAAGGCAGGGAAGGAAAAGTCTCACTAATACAGGTAGAAAAAAGAAAGTCCTCTCTATGAATACTTCCTATATATATGTCTTCTGCTATGTATCCTTCTTCCTCTCTCTTTTATTTTCACTTTTGAGAAAGGAAATAGAGGAAATGAACCATTTATAACCAGGTGCCTCTACTTGGTTGATTATGGTCCCTCTTTCAAGACAAAGTTAGGGATTAAACCATCTACATTATAATTCTCGAAGACTGATTAGGGTTCCCTTCAAATGAAAATGAAGAGTAGAAGGGAATAAACCATCTACAACCAGGTGCCTCTACTTGGTTGATTATGGTCCCTCTTTCAAGATAAACGTAGGGATTAAACCATCTATAGTCTAATTCTCGAAGGCCGATTATGGTTTCCTCCAAATGAAAATGAAGAGTAGAGGGATGAAAATCATCTACAATTAAATATTCAGTTTGATTGACTATGGTTCTTTTTTTGTATGCAAAATTCCAAGGATTAATGCTGTCTACAATCAGATTTTCGTCTTATTGACTATAGCTTATTGTGAAGAAAGGAGTGAGAAGGAAATTTTCTTTAAAAAATAAAAGAGAAATGTATTGTTGTATAGTTTCTCAATTGTATTTTCTTTTTCTTTCTTCTCATTCTTGTACACTTGATGTAAAAGAAAAGAAAAGTTTTTTTTTTTAGTTACCCTATTGTTCTTTTCCTTTGTTCTATGCAGTCATTTCTCCATGTCAGAATCAAAAGGTGTTCTCTACTTTCTTATGGAGATGTACTTAAGGGGAACAATACGTATGATTCCTTGAATGGGCCTTACCCAAAATAATAAAAACTCAATCACTTGATTGAGTGAATTATGTTGCTTGAGAATTTATTAAAATTTTCACACCAACACTGACCCTATATAGTTGGGATAAGGCTTGGATGATGATTATTTTGTAGTTTTTTGAATCACCATAAACCCTTACTTTACGATCCAGACTGCAAAAAAAAGAAAAAGAAAAAAAAAGTATTCCACTTAGATCAATCTTTATGTATGAGAAGAGCACTGTTCAAAATATCAATAATCTAAATACAGGATACATGTTGGAAATGTTAGAAATATTGTAAAAGTTATGGACATGGTAGAAACATTGTGAAATATGCAAAAATATGGAATGATATCTTATGAATGATAAAAGAAGTGGCACATTTTTTTTTTAATTATTGTCTTGTTCCAACTTATTAAACAAAGCTAAGGAAGTAAGGTCATAAACAAATTAATATGTTGTGAAGTTGTCCTGTTAACCTTAAAAGTCAAAACTACATGATGGAATGAGTTAATGCAAAATTTGAACTTTAGAAAATGCAAATGATTCGAATAGATCGATCAAATAATCTATTACATGAACAAGAACTAATAGTTAACTCCATGTTTGAAATGAATAACAAGCTATCATAAAGTGGTAATCGTGTCCTTTAGGCGTGCAATAACATTGCTAATCCACATATCTATAAAATATTGTCACCAACTTATGTTATAATACTATCTCTTGTGCTCCATGTAGTGCCGGTAGTGTTCATCGGAGAAAATGTCGATTCTAGCAAAATTGTGTCGATACCTATGGAAATGGAAATGTCATAAAAGATTAGGAAATTTGTGGACATTTTAAAGCATGAGAAGAGTCAATTTTGTATGATCCATAACAAATCTTTTTTTTTTGTTCATTGATAAAATGAAGCTTTCTTTTCCATTTCAAATCCATACCATAAAATTAGATAATTGTGAAATGAATCATAAATTGAAAATAAGATAGAAAAATGTACGATTTTTAGTTATATGCCCAGATTGAAGACAGAACTATCTAGTTTCAACTGTTCCATTCTAAAAGAGCTTAAACTACATGAAAGCCTGCTGTTAAAATAGATACCATCCTACGACACTGATACTAAGGACTATTGAACATTCAAATAGGAATTGGAATGAGTTTTTTATTGATCAGTTATTATTTATTTATTTATTTTTTGAGAAATGGTGTGAATATTCATCAGGTATATTATTTTAGAAAAATAATATTGCATTGAATTGATTCTTTCAATCTCAATGATTGAATATGAATGGCTATTATGTTTTCAAGCATGCTGCCATGGTGAAACTGGTAGGGGCATGCAACATGCTGCTCGGTGGAGGAAATGCTGGAGTATTTTGGTTTCCGAGTGGCTGCATCTTCTAAAAGATGTACAATAAATCATATAATGAATTCAATTTCTGATTTTCATTCTTCACTCAAGGACCTGCTATTAGGATTTATTTTATGATATTTTTGACTTTTAGAATATCTCATCAAACTTTTAAGGGCAATAAATTAAGAATTTCCTATTTTTTTTTTTAAATTATAAAAAAATGTTTAGTAGTAAATTGCGTTTCCGATCCTTGACTTGGTTTCTTGTCAACTAAATGACAGAATTTCAAGTTCTCACACTTTCGTATAAAGTGAAAGTTGTGCTTCTTATTTTTCCTCTGTATTGCCATCTGCTGATGCATTTGGTTATTTGCCTTTTTCTTTCCTTTTAAAGGGGTAATGTTCTGTTTAAGTAGATTATAAATCATAAGCTCTAATCTCCTTTGCATTGTATGCTGCTCTTTAGAACTGGACAATACATGGACTGTACTGGGGGAGCTATAAAATACATCAGCCTGGTTTGCTTAAAGATTCTGTTAAGGAGCTGCTGTCTTGGCTAGCGAAGGGCTTGATATCCATCAATGTTTTTCATACTTATGGTCTATCAGAGGTAGGTGCTTTTGATTCTTTGGTTATTTGCAATTACTTCAAACAGCTTTATGTTTTCATTTTTCCCCTTTTCTAGTTTTTGATCCCAAGAGATACTCCATGTTATCATCATAACCATTATGACGAACCATAACTTGAATCAGCACTCAAAAACCCAAAATTCAGTTTGGAAGTTTATTAGGTTGAGTTTACAATATAACACAGATCAAAAAACAATATTTAAAACAACAAGGGAGATGATTGCAAGATTTAATTGGATAAAGAGATTGGCGAACGCCATGACCAACTCTTTGGCAAGACAAGGTGTGAGTAGGGAACAAATACATTGGGAAACAACATAAAGGGGTGAAATGTAAAAAGGGGGTTGCTACTCCATAACTTTGGGGAAATCACTCATCACTTTGTATATAGATCTTTCCAATAAAATATGTTTCTCGATTATCCATAAAAATGGTGGGTATATCTCTCTCTCTCTCTCTCTTCTTTTGGTTGTAGTGGGATGAATATGTATTTAAGAAATTAAGTAAAATTGTAGAATATATAATATATTATAAAAGAAGAAGTAAACTATTTTTTCTTTATGGAGGTGATGCATGTATTTGATGACATTCATATATACCCATGACAGAAATTCCACCTTCATATTCCTAATACCAAAGATCCATGATGTTGTTTCCACCCATTAGCTTGATTGGTGGTACCTACAAAATAATCTCTAAGGTGTTGCTCAAACATTTAAGAAAGTATTGGTGAAAATGTCTGATAGTAAGGGGGAGTCCCTATAGATCCCCCTATAGATCTGAATGTGAAGATGTTTGATAGTGAGGGGGAGTCCCTAGATGATCCTGGATAGTACAGGAGAGTAGTTGGAAAACTGATTTTTTTAACCATTACAAAACTTGACATTTCCTTCAGCATTGGATTATTGTGCCAATTCATGCAGAACCCAAGGACAACCCATTGGGAAGGTGTTGTTAGAGTTCTATGCTATTTGAAGGGGGCTCCAGGTAAAGGGTTGTTGTATAAGAAAGAGGGAGAACTTTCCTTGGGAGGATACACAGATGCTGATTGGGCAGGATTGGTTACTGATAGAAAATCAGCAACTGGTTATTGCACCTTTTTGGCAGGGAATTTGATTACTTGGAAAAGCAAGAAGCAGAATGTGGTGGCTAGGAGTAGTGCTGAGTCCGAGTATAGAGCCATGGCCCACACTACATGTGAGTTGGTGTGGTTGAGACAATTGTTACAAGAGATGGGAATATCAGTCACAACCCCCATGAAGCTATTTTGTGACAACCAGGCTACCATTCATATCTCTTCCAATCCAATATATCATGAGAGGACCAAACACATAGAGGTGGATTTCCACTTTGTTAGAGAAAAGGTGGTCAGTAGAGAAATCATTACCCCATACATGAGGTTTGAAGATCAACTAGCTGATTTGTTTACCAAAGGCTTGATTGGTGCTCGGATGAAATACATTTGTAACAAGTTGGAGTTGTATGATATATATGCTCCAACTTGAGGGGGAGTGTTAAAATACAAACTTTGTTTTAGAATTATTTTAGTCTTTTCCCTTCTTTAAATTAATGTCTTTTTTGTCTCTATTCTCAAGCATTTGTATATAGGGGTAATAGTGTAATTACCTTTTATTATGAATTAAACATTTTGTGCGGCAGTTCTTTTCTTCGACAGAAACTGTATAGACCTATTCTGTTCGACCTTTCTTTTCCTCTTCTTCTTCGTCTCTTCTCCTTTTAGGCTCATACCAGGAGCCTTCTTTTTATTTATTTAATTAAATGCAGGCCTGATAACAGAGGGTTCAAATCGAATCTAGCTTTGGGTCTCAAGACTGAGGGATTAACAATGTTGGAATTGAACGATCTTGGTATCATTGGATTCAGAATTTCAAGATCTATGTATCTACAGGCTTGGTTTTCTAACTTGATGTGAGATAAGGTTCGGGATCGAAAGAATTTCAATTGAATGATCAGAATCGGTTCTGACTTTGAGTCTTAGGATGGAAGGGCAAACAATGTTGGATTATGGCAATCTTAGTATAATTGGATTTGGAATTTCGAGTTCTATGTACCTATGGTGTTAGATTTCTGATTTGAGGTGAGATAAGGTTCAAGATCGAAAAGATTCCAATTGGACAATTGGAATCGGTTTTGGCTTTGAGTCTTAGGACAAAGGGGTAAATGGTTTCGTATTTGGGTGATCTTGGTATCATTGCACTTGGAATGTTGGGTCCTACATGCCTATGGTGTTGGATTTCTAACTTGATAGGAGATAAGGTTTAAGATCAAAAAGATTCCAATCGGATGATTAGAATTGATTCTGACTTAGGGTCTTAGGATGGAGGGGTAAACGGTGTTAGATTTTGGTGATCTTGGTATCATTGGACTTGGAATTTTGGGCTCTACGTACCTATGGTGTTGGATTTTTGATTTAATGTGAAATGAGTTTAAGGATATTCCAATCAGACGATTAAAATCGATTCTAGCTTTGTGTCTTAGGACGAAGGGGTAAATGGTTTTGGGTTTGGGTGTTGGTATCATTGGACTTGGAATTTTGGGATATATATAACTATGGTGTTAGATATCTAATTTGATGTGAGATAAGGTTTAGGATAAAAAAGATTTCAATTGGACGATTGAAATCGATTTTGTCTGTCTTAGGATGAAAGGGTAAATTGTATCGGGTTTGGGTAATCATGGTACTATTAGATTTGGAATTTCAGGCTCTATGTACCTGTTGTATTGGATTTGTTGACCTAGAGATCAAAACTTTTGTGAAATTTCAAAAATGCATCTAGTTGGCCGAGAAGTTAATTGAAGCATGCTTGAAGCTTGGAGTGCTGTAGAAAGACTAAAGGGTGTAAAAATGGGGTGTCTACAGATTACCTCTTTTTATTGGAGGATGATAATTTGAACAACAAAGCTTGAGGAAGTAACTTATTTTTGTGCAGAAATGTAATGGAATAGCTTTCCCATATTCAAAAGAATACCACTCGAAAAAAATATTTTTATGACAAAATGCTGGTTGATTGAAAGAAGATTATTTTTTTATTGAAAAGACTCCTCTAGATTCTCCTCTTATGATCAAGGTTTACAATTTTGCAATGTACTAGGCTGTATCGGCCGATACGTATCATTTCATTAAGAGCCCAATACACGGAACATTTAGAAATCACATGTTCTGTTTTCTTATGTCATAGAGATATGTGCACGTATTGGGTTATTTCGGCTTTGTATCGGCCGATATGGGCTCGAAACAGTCTGATACAACGTGATACACTTGATTCGTTTTGGGTGTCATTTTTCATTAATTTCACTAATCTATATTTATTTCCGAATTCTCTCTCATTAATTTCATTAGTTACTCCTATATTTAAGTCTAATTTCTCTTTCATTAATTAGTCATTTATTCCTATAACTAAAGGCAATTGTAAATTTAAACTAGAACTTTAGTGCCTAATTCGAATTTATCATTAATTTCGTTAATTAATGATCATCACTCTCATTAATTTTGTTTTGTTAGCATAAATGCTACAAAATTTAGCAAGAGCAAGATTTGAACCTTGGTTACTAGATTTTAACGACCATAAGTTCACCACTAGGCCACACCCATATTTGTTTGTTATGGTCATATTCATTTTTATTTTTAAGTAAGTTTTCTCTTTCATAGTGGATGTTTATTAATAAAAGCTAGAATTAATTAATAAAAATTATATACTAATAAATACTAAAATACATTATATTGGTTATCTGAAAATCGATGTATACACATTCACATTTTAGATTTTTTTTTCTACATTTTAGTTCTTTCATCATTTTTCAGCGGTTACTAATTGTATCCCAATATTTCACACTATATAGGCCATTAAATTATGGTTTTTTACATTTAAATGACCTATTTACAATTGTATAAAACTTGTAGTTATTGTTAGTAATATATTTTTTATGATTTATTTAAGTTTCCTAACGTATTTATTTCTATCTTGATTTTTCGTCCATATCCTTGCATATCTTGATACATATCTTAAAATTATCTTTCCAATAGACCTTGTGTTTCCAATACTTTGAACCTTGCCTCTGGTACACTATTATAATTGTCTAGAACTCATTCGGCTATTGACAAAAGGATTGTCGTACATAAGCCAATCTCTAGATCTTCTCGAAGGGGTTTTTAAAATGGAATCTCTCATCCACAACATTTGTATGGCTGTCTAGAACTATAGTGTCCCTGCAGCATAGGAATTGTGAAATTTTTCGTTGGTCAATTCCTTGAGATTTTGCAAGATGCATGCTTTGATAAACAAATGGTGAGAAAGGAAAGATATTTTTGTCAATGAGATTTTTTTTTTTTTGTAGGAAACAATTAAGTGTGGAAAAGTTGTTGCAACGTATTTCCATGTTAAGCACAACCGAAAGACATCCAACAAGGTTCTTATACCTAAACCATGCATGTTTGATATGGGCAAGTCAATATGCATGGTTCTTTGGGTATTTGTCTTTGAAGTTAAAAATATGCTTTAATGTTGGGAGTTGGGTGTTATGGGCCCTAGCGTAGGATCTTGTCATGGGTTGGTCCACGGGGAGAACTCCTAGCTTCCCCTTGCCCCTCCCTTTGCGCGCAGACCCTATGGTGGCGAACTGAGGGTGATTTGTTCAAGAGATCACCCTAACTCTCCTACTCTTTCTTGACTGAAAACTGAATGCTTTATTYTCAATTTGTAGCTCCTTAAATAGGAGATTACAAGAGGTGTGGGAAGACTCCCAGTAGAATTCGAATACTCACAGATAAGGATAATTCACACTTTTAGGATCAACAGACTCCTACTTCTAATAGGTAAATCAAACTCTAGAAGATAAGGAAAACTACTAAGAATAAGATAAGATGAGCCAAGATAAGCTGCCGCCTTTGTGGGCCCCTTGTGGGCCCCTCCTCACTGCTGCTATCGGCAGTTGTACGTCCTCCCTATGAACGCATCCGCAA